AGAACGTTCCTGGCATGGGGACCAGCCACTGGAAAAGCACAGAGTTCAGAGAAGGAGGGTCTTGGTTAAGGAAGCCAGTGTCCCTGGGTGAGAGAAAAGGAGGAGGAGGAGAGTGAGGTGTAGAAAAACTGGAAAAAGGATTGGGGCTGCTTATATGAACCTATTATGGGTCACTGTGTCTACCTTCTACATTTTCTTTTGATTTTGATTTGATGCTGTTAAAGAATTGTCAGGGTCCTTGTTAGCAACAGCCCAAATAAGGCAGCACAGTTTGTAACCAGGCAGGTACACTGACCCTTTTTATATTCGCTCAGAGGGTAACATACTCCATGTGGACCCCAGTGACCTTCTGTTCCACAGATGTCATATATAGCCATTTTGAAATGATTTGGCTTAAAATTTGGGGAGCAATGTTCAATCGTGATATTGGCTTGGAGTTCAGTTCCCATGTTTTGATTTTCTCTGGTTTAGGGATTAGGTCTACACTAGTCTTGGTACGATACCTTCCTACTTGGGGAATCATTTGTGAAGTACAGGTACTACCAGTGCTTTCCAAATTTGAGAGAATTCTCCTATGTATCTATCTGAACCTAGAGCTGTTTTTTCCTTTGGTTCTTTTACATTTAAATCTATTTCCTTTTCTGTGCTCAGGCTATACAAGTTCTCTATCGGGTATCCAGACAGTAGAGCATTTCCTGTTTTAGGAGGTGTTTCTCCATTTTTGTGCATGTTCTCAGTTTCTGTAGAATAAAACTGTGCATATTATGCTCTGATGATCCTTTCTATTTCTTCCAGTTTTGCTGTGATTTTACCTTTCTCATTGGTTATTTTATTGATTTGATTTTCTGCTCTCTTTTAATCAAATTACCTATGGGTTTTATTAATTTCATTACTAATTTGAGAATTCATTTTTGGTTTTATTTGCCATTTCTATTTTTTGTTTCCAATTTGTCTGTTTCCATTCTACTTTATGTATCTTCCCTTTTGTGCTTATTTTAGGTTAGTTTTTCTAATTTTTAAAGTATGTATTAAATGTATTAACCTTCTCTTTTTCTATATTCTTAATGCGTGATGGTAAGGATATGTTTTCCCTCTGAAGACTGCTTTAGCTGAATCCCAGATATTTTGACATGTTGTCACTTGTTATCATTTCATATATGATAACATGTATCATATCATATCATATGATATCATGATATCATATATGATAACAATGTTATCATTTGCTTTTTACAAAGTTATCATTTCTATGATTTGTTCTTTGACTCAGTTGTCCTTTACTGTCTTTGTTAAGTCTCTTTTTGGGTTTGTATCTTTTTGTCTGTGGTCCATGAACTAATTTCCATTCTTATTTCATTATGGAAAAATGTATTGATTATTTCTGTCTTTTTGTATTTGTTTCTAGTATCTCTGTGCCTTTAAGGTTAATTTTCATAGAAGTTCCATGTGTTGCAAAGAAATACGCATATTCCTTTGTTGTCCCATTTAGAAGATGCCATAAATCTTTTAACTCTGGTTTCTCCAGAAATTTGCTTATCTTTTCTGCTTTCATCTCATTCTACATTTCTTCCTTCTCATTTTTTCCTCTCAGGTTCTCATATAGATTTCCCTTTCTCTCTTCCCCTTCAACTAGTCCTGTGCAATAGTTTTAAATTTCACCCATTTTTCTTCCCCTTTCCAACAAGGATTTCTCTCTCTTTCTTCATTGTCCATCTCTTCTTTCTGTTTTACTTAGCTTATCATTTTCTGATTAATATACCCTATGGGTATAAAACATGTTCAGGAAAAACTAGTACCTCTGATTGATGACAGTCTGTTGAGAATACTACAGAAACATTCAGCCCATCTCTCCAGGATCATGTCTTTATCAGTAATCAATGTGGCAGTGAGTAGTTGAGATGCACCCTACATCTTTGAACCATAAATAGCCTCCAGAGCATCATAAAAGCACTTTCGATTGTTCTATAAGCGTAAAACTGAATTTCATCTGCCTTCTTACTGAGCTAAGCAGTCTGCATCTCTTTGAGCTTCACTTGTACTTTACTTTTAGTGGAGTCAAATGTTGCCTTCTTAGAGATGGATGAACTACCCTGCTGGTAAAACCTGTGGAGTTCCTGTTTTTCATTTAGCAGCTCCTGAATTTCCCCATCATTTTCATCAAACCAGTCTTGATATTGGTAAGAGTTCTGACCCAGATGAGTAAATATAGTGCTGTCCACCATATCTCTGAAAGCTGTCCATTCTTTTTCTGTTCCACTGTTGCCAATTGTGTGTTGACTCAACTTTCCCTCCAAGTTAGCAACAAACTGTACCTGCTAAGAGAAGTGCTCTAATCTGTTGACATTAAGTCTTCTGGTAGTCATCTTGCCTTAGGGCTACAGCTTTTGTTGGAAACAAATATTTAGTTTGAAGAGGATAAGTCTATGATCAGCCCAGCACTCTGCACCACACATTGCCTTTGTCACTCTCATGTCCTGTCTGTCTCTTCTCCTTACAATCACATAGTCTATTAAATGTTGATGTTTGCTGCAGGGTGCATCCACAAAGTTTTATTGTGTTTAGGTAAAAAGAAGAAAGTTTTGGTGATAAGAAGGTCATGAGATGCACAAGTCTTCAGTGGAAGTGACCATTCCTGCTGCTGTTTCCAGCACTACTCCCAAGGACTCTCTGCCATTAGTGTAAGCCTAGTCTAGCATTAAGTCACCCAGAATTATATCAGCTTGTCCTCTTTTACCACATTGATGATAAGGGTCTCTGGGTCTTCATCAAATTTTTCTCTGACCTCATCAGGGTCTGCCGTGGTGGGGGCATAAGTGCTAATGATGGTGGTGTGACATTTTCCTGCAAGTGGCAATCACATCGTCATGAGCCTGCTGCTCATTCCTTTTGGTGGACATACAAGTTTGTTGACTAAAGTAGTATTGATTGCAAAACCTACACCAAATTCCTGGTGTTCCCCTTCACTGAGGCCACTCTAGAAAAACATGTGTCCAGCTCCAACTTCAGTAAGCTGGCCTTCATTGCCAGCCTTGTTTCACTTAGGGCTGCTATTTGGTTGTGATACCTGCTTAATTCTCTTGCAACAAGAGCTGTTCATCCTTCAGGCCTACTGGATTTTGTGTTGTCCATAAGTGTGTGAAAATTCCATGTACTGATAGTGAGTGGAATCATCTTTGCAGAAGTTTTCATGCATTTTTTTTTGCATGTTTTTTAGCTGTAGGGTGGGATTCCTGCCTGCTGAGGTAATCAGGCCAGGGTTGGGTAAGTAAGCAATTTTTAGGTCACCTTTTCTGGTCCTTTCATCACAACAGGGGCAGCGAAGTACTTAAAAGACTACTCAGATACCCATGGGGCTGCCAAATCCCACTGCTGCTTCCAGTGAGAAGACAACCCTATGTCCTGGGCCACTATATGCAGGGTTGTAAGTATAGCTCCCAGTGTATTCTCACCTGCTGTTTTCTCACTTGCCTGTCATCACAGGACTTTGAGGTAGGTAAAAATGGTATGAGTGATGTCTTTTGACTCACTCACAAATTGGACTTCAGTGAGGCAGAGTTGCACAAAGTCATAGGCCTCACTCTCTCTTCCATAGATGTCACAGTCTAGTAGCAGGACAGAGTCAAGATGACTGATGATGCTTCTGTTCCACCTAAGGGGCAGCTGTGGGACAGAAGATGTCAGATGTGCTTTCAGAAACAATGCATCTAGACAGCTGACACTTACTAGCTGTGTGACCCTAGGCAAGTCATTTAACCCCATTGCTTAGCCAAAAAAAAAAAAGAAAGAAAGAAAAAAACAATGGGTCTGCATCCTGGCTTAGCAGCCTCTGTGTGTGTGTGTATGTGTGTCTGTGAGAGAGAGACCTTTGTGCCTCAGTTTCCTCATCTTCAAAATAGATATGGGGTTGGATGATGTGGTCTTCCCAGCTCTGACTCTCTGAGCCTGTGTTCATGGGTGTCTCCTCATTTCCACAATGAAAGGATTCGATCACACACACACACACACACACACACACACACACACACACACGTGACTACTGGTGATGGTTCAAGATGCAGTGGATGACCTTGGTGTCTTTGATGCCTAACCAAGCTCTAAGCATTCCACAGCACCTGCTGCAGCTGCCTTCATGGCCCTTGGAACAAATTGTTCTCATCTGCCCACTCCACCAGAGGAAGTCTTCACATGCTTGGGGTAGGCACCCCCTAACTCAACGAGGGGTCTGAGACCCCTTGGTTATCCTCCACCTGGTTTAGCCCACCTGCTGAAATGGTTTACGGGGGTGTGGCCACTGCACTTGCTACAGTTTCTTGGAGCCACAGATGAGAGTTGGATGAATCAAGAAGATACCCAAAGTGGAAAGCAGCTCTGAAACTCAGCAGCCCCCACACAGGAGGTACAACTCTTCCCTGAACACTCTACACCCCAATAAGATAGAGTCATTCTGATCCAATTACCTTTAATTCTTTTTCTTACAGTTCCTAATCATATTGCTTTAATGCCCAATTTTAAGTGTATTTTCCCTTAAAGTCTGGTCTCCTCATAGAGGTTCAAATGTCACAATTACAATAGGAGAACTCAGTCCAATCCAATCTGGATTTACAGTTACAAACAACATAGAGAATCGTATTTTCCCAGAAGCCATTTGCTGCCAGCTCCTCAAAGAACGGGGTCCAGCACTTTCAGTGAGTCTGGTGCCGTAGTTTTTTCCTCGCAGTCTTTCTCCTCCGAAAGAGGAGGGGGTGAGTCTGGGAGGAAGGGAGGGAGGGAGGTGGTGGAGGCACTGGAGAGGAGGAGCCCACAGAGGTGAGCAGCCTGGTGGGTGGTGGCTGAGGTGGAATTTGAGCCCTGGGGTGGAGTTTGGAGGCCTGGGAGGAGTTTAGAGCTGAATTGAGAGATCTTTGGACTGGAGAAGGACTGGGTGGTGCTCTTGGGAATAGGAAAACCCTCCCAGAATGGGCTGGCCAGAAGGAGGAAGTCTTTGAACTGAGACTGCTCTGCCTTCCCTGCAGCTCAATTCTCCTTCCTTTCTTCCTGTAGAGCTGAGGTCTCTCTGCCTTCCCTGCATCCAAGATCGCTCTGCCTTCCCTGCTGGGGCTGAGATGGCTCTGCCTTCCCCTGCATCTGAGATTGTTCTGTCTTTCCTGCTAGAGCTGAAATTGCTCTCCGTTCCCTGCATCTGAGATCAATCTGCCTTCTGGAAGTCAGCTCTGTGCTTACAGGTCCCAGGTAGGTCTAAGCTAGAACCCCACCATATTTCCTGGCTTCTGCTAGCTGCCCATGTCATTGGGGCTCATTCTCCTTTTCTGATCTTATGGTGAGTGTCCTCCAGGTCTGCCAGAAGCACACCTTCCTCCCAAGCCTGGCTACTGGATGAGCTCCCTGCCCCTAAATCTTTTCCAGACTCCCACTCACTTCACAAACTTCTTGTCTCAGCCTCCCCAGATATACTGTTGGATAACTCCTTTCCAAACTTCAGACTTTGCCCATAGGATTCTGGGGGTCCTGATTTCAGCCTTCCTATCAGGACCCAGGTTTCTTGTTTCCCTGTCCACTAATCTCTAACCTCTTGGTTAGAAATTCAGCTGTCTTGCCTTCAGACCCGGACCCTTTTGAAGATCCAAAAGTCCTGTCTTCTTGACCCCAATACCTGACCTTGGACATAGTTACCAAAGCTCTTTCCTTACCTGCACCCATGGCTCTGGGGCTGGTTCATTATCAGATCCCAGGCTTGTGGCTCTGTCTCCAGTTTCCCTTTAGGAATTCCAAGCCTAAGCTCTACCAGAGGGTCCCAGGAGTCCCCCCCCAGCTCCCAGTTAGATCTCAGGATACAGTCATCCTGCTTCCCCAGGCTCAGTGTCCACCTGGAGCCTTTCTGTCACTCTAGTGCTTAACCCTAACCTCACCTCCCTGCCATGAGCTATGTTAGAATGTCTTGCCTCCCAGACCCTATCCAGGCCTCCTGATTCCCTGCCTCGGGCCCACTGCCAGAGGGCTGAATCCCAGACTGGATTTTCTCTCCAAGTCTCACGCTCCCCCTGGTCATTCCCTGTTATCACCATTCAAGAGCCCTCCCCATCCTCAACCTTTCCTAGGTTCCCTCCTTCCTAGATCAAGCAGACAGTCTATTGTCTAGATTATGTGCACCTATGTCAGGGAGAGAGGATGCAGGGAGGGCAGAGGGCCAGTTGGAGGGAGAGCTCTGACTCGGGCCACTGAGGCTCTGACTGGGCTCATCCCATCTGGGATCCCAAGCTTCCTCTGCCTCTTGGTCCCTGTGGAACAATGGGGAAGTGAGGGAGCAGAAGAGGAGGAGTAAGAGAGGGAGGGAAGTAGTCTTCCTGTTCAGACCATCTTCATTTCCAAGCCTGACCCTCTCTGCCTTCTCCCTCCCTCTGTAGGTTGGAATCTCTCCCCTGAGGGCAGGGCCTAGGCCTTTGCAACTCCTATATGCCACCCTCTGTAAATCCCTGTAGGTCAGCCTTCTGCCTAGGAAGAGAAGAGAAGGACCTCTCCCCTTCTGGAATCCTTCTCCTTGCCCAGCTCAGTCTGCAGAGCACCAAGGCCTGGCCCAAGCAGGGAGCCTGGAGCCAGAGAGAATGGCCCCTGGGAGCCACAGCCCCCCACCCCAGGTGAGTGCAGTCTTGGGTTCACAGACTTGATCAGCATTGGATAATGAGACCATTTCCATAGACATAGAGGATGGTCTATGAAGCTTATAGACCATTTTTTAATTAATTTATTTTTAGTTTTAAACATTCACTTCCTTAAGATTGTGAGTTCTAAATTTTCTCCCCCTTCCCAAGACAGCATGCAATCTGATATAGGCTCTACATATACATTCATATTAAATATATTTTCACATTAGTCATGTTGTAAAGAAGAATTAGAACCAACGGGAGGAACCACAAGAAAGAAGAAACAAAACAAAACAACAGAAGAAAAGGAGAGCGGATAATATGCTTCCATCTACATTCGGACTCCAAAGTTCTTTCTCTGTATGTGGACAGCATTTTCCATTGTGACTCTTTTGGAGTTGTCTTAAATCTTTGCATTGCTGAGAAGAGCTAAGTCTATCAAAGTCGGTCATCACACAATGTTGCTGTTACTGTGTACAACGTTCTCCTGGTTCTGCTCACTGCACTCAGCATCAGCTCATGTAAGTCTTCCCAGGTTTTTCTGAAGTCTGCTTGTTGAAGTTTAGAGGTTTAGGGGTGATAGGATCCCAAAACATGGGTCCTGTCCAAATGATTTCGACCCAAGCCTTCTTTCAGCCAAAGATAAAGGTTTATTAAAGATCCACCATATTGGCCAGACTCTTAAGGAATTTGAACATTTTTGAGCTATTGTCTGAATTATAAACATCTGAGCTCTTGGCTAGACTCTTAAAGAATCTGAGCCCCTTAATGGAGACAAGATGGACCTTATATACAGAAAGACTACGTGAGTGATCTAGGGAAGATCTTGATGGGAGTGACTGGGAGGTCAAGAATGGGGTCTAGGCAGGGTCAAGGGTGGGAAGTAGCCAGGAGCCATCTGGAGGTAATAGACAATGGAGGGCTGGGCTAGGTTAAGGGTAACAGAATTGAGAGATCTTTGGTGATTGTGAAAGGCTAGTTGATAGGATTATAGCCTCAGGAGAACTACAGACTTCTTTGATCAAGTAGGAGAGTTCAAGGAGAGTCTTTAGACAAATGGAATGCATATTTTTTGGGGGATGAGGGGTTAAGGTCTTAGCTTAGGCCTGTACCCCATCAAGCCTGTTCATCATTTCTTACAGAACAATAGTATTCCATTATATTCATATACCACAACTTGTTCAGTCATTCTCCAATTGATGGGCATCCCCTCAATTTCCAGTTCTTGGCCATCACAAAAAGAGCTGCCATAAATATTTTTGTACATATAGGTCTTTTTCCCTTTTTTATGGTCTCTTTGGGATACAGATCTAGAAGTGCTATTGCTGGGTCAAAGGGTATGCACAGTTTTATAGCTGTTTGAGCATAGTTCTTATGGACCATTTCTTTTCAAAAATAGGCATGAAATTGAATAAGGTAGTAACAGCACTGCCCTGCTCTCTGCTATTCTGTGTTGCCTGGGACAGAGACCACTACTCAAATTCAAAACAAAGACTTAGTTACCTTGAAAGCAGAAAGGAGTTAATTGCTTTCTCATGAGAAAGGAAACCACCCCTGCTCACCCTAATGGCGAGGGCCAGGGAGAAGGCATACCTGTACTCATCAGTATTATGGTATCGGTACAAGATGGTTACAGAAAGCAAGGCTTATTTATATCCTAACCCTGAGTTCCTCCTCCCTAACCCCCTTCCCCTTTATCCCATTGACTGGGCTTCAGGGGGCACAATCTATTCATGGAAATCTTCCCCAGCAACAGAGTACACAAGTTTGCCTGAGACAAAAAAAGGTGGGAAGTCTTGCAAGGGTTTTAGGTTGGGGGTAAGGCTATTCTATTCTTTCTGCTACAGTGCTTAAAAACAGGGTCTGAGGGGGTTTTGACAAGGTCAGAGGGGAGTGTTTCAACAATACAATTAAATTTCTTGAGGCCTTCTACAACAGGTGCCTCCAATTTCTCTCCTCCTACTCTTCTTACTATCTGGCTTCTAACCTTATCTCTCTCCAAATGATCAGTGATTTCCTAATTGCTGCCCTTTGTAAGAACTATTAACAAGAACTATTAACCCACTGAGGAGGCTTCACATCTGAGATCATCATCTCTCACTGATTCACTGGCACTCTGGCACATGGAACACTGACTCCTCCCTCCCCTGCTTATTTTGAAGTTCTCCCTCATTAGACTGGGTCAGGCAAGTTTCCCCAGTCTCCCTGAATCCCTCCCCTTTACCCTTTCTTGGGTCCCATCAGTAAACATTTGTTATTTTTGTTTTTATTCACATCTGACTCTTTGACCACATTTGAGTTGTTCTTGGCAGAGAGCCTGGAATGGTTTCCTTCTCCAGCTCATTTTAGAGATGAGAGAAGTGAGATAAACAGGGTGAAGCCTGACTTGCCCAGGGTCACTCTGCTAGTGTCTGAGGCAAGATTCAAGTTCAGATCTTTCTGAGTCCAGGGCCAGCACCCTATCCACAGTGCCACTTAGCTGCCCCAACATGTCAGCGGCTTTGTCCAAACAAGCTCTGCACAGTATCAAATGGAGTTAATTCTGAGAGGCAAGGCTCTAACAATTTTGGCGACCAGGAAAATAATATTTTCAGAAAGTGAAATTTTAGCTGAGACTTGAAGGAAGTCTGTAGGTCAGGATGGAGAACTTCCCAATCATGGTAGACAGCCATTGCAAAGCCTCAGAGTCAGGAGATGGAGGGTCTTGATCCAGAATCATCCACAAGGCCAGTGCCTCTGGGTCAGAAAGGAGGAGGGGGAGGAGGGGAGTGAGGTGTAGGAAGACTGGATAGGTTATATGTACCTACTATGCACCACCTTATTCAGTTCATACATTTTCTCTCATTTGATCCTGTTGAAAAATTGTCAAGGTTGTTGCTCATTTCATACAGCACAATAGTATCCCATCACAATCATACACAGCAACTTGCTCAGTCATTCCCCAACTGATGAGCATCCCCTCAAGCTCCACTTCTTTGCCACCTCTAGAAAGGTTACTATACATATTTTCTACATGTAGGTCCTTTTCCTTTTTGTTTTTTTTCTGTTTCAGACACAGACCTACTAGTGGTATTGCTAGGTCAAGGGATATGCATGGTTTTATAAGTCCTTTGTGCATGGTTCAGTTTACAACTTCACCAACATCAATTTCCCACATCCCCTCCAACATTTGTCATTATCATTTTTTGTCCTATTAGCCAATCTAAAAGGTTTGAGGTGGCATCACAGAATTGTTTTAATTTGCATTTTTCCAATCAAAAGTGATTTAGAGCATTTGTTCATATGGCTATAGATAGCTTTGATTACTTCATCTAAAAACTGACTCTTCACTTTTTTTTATCATTTGGGCAATGGCTCTTATTTTTACAAATTTGATTCATATCTCTATCTATTTGAGAGATGAGGCCTTTTTCAGAGAAACTTGCTTCTAAAGTTATTTTTTTTTACAGTTATGTTTGCTAACTGTATTTCCCTCCATCTTATTTCCCCCTGTTTATTCTATGCTCTCTCTCCTTTCACCCTGACCCTCCTCAAAACTATTTTGCTTCTGACTACAGGCTCCCCCTCTCAACCTGCCCTCCCTCACATACCCCTCTCTTCTCTTAACCCTTTCCTCTCCTACTTTCCTGTAGGGTAAGATAAATCTCTATACATAAGTGAGTCTGTATGTTATTCCCTTTTTGAGCCAATTCTGATTAGAATAAACTTCAAGTCTTCCCTGTCTCATTCCCCATCTTCCCTTCTACTCTAAAACATCTTTCATGCCTCTTTTATGTGAGATAATTTACCCCATTCTACCCCTCCCTTTCCCTTTCTCCAAATACATTCCCTTTTCTCATCTGTTAATTTGTCCCATCATATTCAACTCACACCTGTGCCCTCTGCCTACGTACTCCTTCTAAATGCCCCCATAATGAGAAAGTTCTTAGGATTTCCAAGTATCATCTTCTCATGTAGGAATGTAAACAGTTTAACCTTCAAAATAAAAAGTGCAAATAAAAAAAAACAAAATAAAACGTCTAAGGAAGCAAAGAAAAGATAGGACAGTACTCAACACAATGCCTAGAATTTATTGTATAAGCTTTCTTCAAATGGAAATTTATTGCTGCATATTTTGAACCCTCTCTCATGTCCTGCTGTACACATGGCAATGTTTTTTTTTGTATTATTTTAATTTTAGTATTTGTTTGTTTATTTTTTCTTTTCTTACTTTTGTTTAAGATTTTTAAATTTACAATTAAAAATAGTTTATCCTAACTGAATCCCTTATGAAATTTCTCCTTCCTGTTTATCTTTTTATGTTTCCCTTGAATTCTGTATTTAAAAATCAGATTTTGTATTCAGCTCTAGTCTTTTCATAAGGAATGCTTGAAAGTCCTCTATTTCCTTGAATATCTATTTTTTTCCCCTGAAGAATTCACTCACTATTGCTGGGTAGGTGATTTGTGCTTGTAATCCTAGTTCCTTTGCCCTCCAGAACATCACATCCCAAGCCCTTTGATCCTTTAACGTAGAAACTGCTAAATCTTGTGTTATCCTGGCTATGACTCCATGCCTGTCTGAATTTTTTTTTTTTTTTTTGGCTGCTTGCAATATTTTCTCCTTGACCTCAAACTCTGGAATTTGGCTATAATATTCCTGGGAGTTTTCATTTTGGGATCTCTTTCAGGAGTTCATTAACAGATTCATTCAATTTCTATTTTACCTTTGGTTTCTAGGATATCATGGTAGTTTTCCTTGATAATTTCTTGAAAGATGATATCTAGGCTCTTTTTTTTACTGTAGCTTTTAGGAAATAGAATAATTTTTAAATTTATCTCTCCTGGATCCATTTTCCAAGTAAGTTGTTTTTCCAAAGAGATGTTTCAAGTTTTCTTTTATTTTTTTCTTTTTTAAAAAATTTGTTTTATTTCTTGATCTCTCATAGGGTCAGTAGCTTCCACTTGCACAATTCTAATTTTTAAGGAATTATTTTCTTCAGTGAGCTTTTGAAC